AAAAAAACAACCAAAAAAAACCCCCACCCAACAAAAAACAAAAACGACTGTCGGTCCCCTCCACTGGCCCTAACCGCGCACGACACGCGCAATTCGATGACATCGTACCACAACATTCATCATAGCTTTGGGCCTATGCTTCGAATGTTGAATTGCGCAAGGGGATCTAAGCATGTCTACAATGTCAACCTACAACTACAACAAACCATTCGCTGCGCTTCGAGGCTATGGTGGATACTCAATAGGGCCTATAGCCATTTATGCTTCGAATGTCACATGGTGCAAAGGTGGGGGGGGGGGAGGGTTAAGTCTAGCGTACAAAGAACCATTCACCATTCGCTGCGCTTAGAAGCGATGGTGCTTACTCATAATTATCACTTGTCTCTTTGCTCAAACATGTCATCTTTTAAAAAAATGGCACTATTTCATTTTTTTTAAACTCTCGACATAATATGGATTTTGAGGAAAATTCGGTAAAAAGAGGAATCTCTTCAAAGTTGTAAAGAAGCTCAATGTCCAAATTGCTTTAAAAAATATTTTTTAAAACAAATTCATGCCAAATTAACAACACTGGGATGAATAATTGATTTAATACGTGGACGGATATGCTGATCTTACAAAATGATCTGGTTCTTTTTCAGAAAAAAAAAAAATTTCAAATATGATAAGAATTGTGAAAGTGGAACGAAGGAAGACATTTTGAGTTTTAGGCAGTATCGAGTAGGAAACACTTAAGAAGGCAGTAATACCTGAGGACTGGATGACATCTGATGAAGAGCTGACGTCCATCGACGATGTCATCGTGCTGGTTGACTTGGGTGTGATATCTGATTTTAAGGACAATGAAGAAGAGAGCGACAAAGATGAAGACCCTCTTTCAGAGGAACTGGCAGGTACAGACGAGGTACATGTAAATAAACCCTACACAAGTGGACCCGGAGACATAGGAAATGGTGACGTTTGTTTGAGAAAAGGGAAGCACGTCAACACAGTAACAGACACTTAATGCAGGGAAAACACAAGAACGACAGAGAGGAAAACAATCACAGAGGGAAAGAAAATAAGTAGTGCCCTCCAACCACCCGCTGTAACTCATCATATCACATGTACAGATGGGAGACTGATAGAAGATGATACATAAACATAGGCCTCGTGCTACACATAGAGGTGGAAACCCAGTCTGAAAAAGAAGACTACATCTACTATGGACCACAAACAGTGATGGAAACACAGGCAAATATTATGTAATGTCGCCAGTAGTTGCAACAGTCTTAAAGTTGACTCTGCAGCAGAGAAGTCAACAAAAGATATTGCTTATTAGCATTGTTTCAGTTCGAGTAAAGAGAAGCACATAGAAACGATAACGGCTATTTTGTATAGAGGGAAACAGCAAAGTGAACCGAGGAGAAGAACAGATAAAGCTCGAACCACCACAGGACCAGATGAAAAGTCCTACAATGAATTCATGAGTACATAAAAGATAAAGGAAAGAAGGGCATCACAATACAACAAATTCTGGAGACAATATATTCTAAAATAAGGAAGTAGTAACAATTGAGAAGTCAACAGGCTTTCAGTTTCAGAAAGAATTTTACGGCACTTGCAAAACAAACGGTCATATAAATCTAAATGCCGAAGAAAAGAGGTTTTGCTAGAAAGTAACATACAAAGAAAAGAAGTAGAAGAGCTAAGGACGATATATGTTTTATAAGCTTGAAGGAGCAATCCGAAACAGAGCGCCCGCCAATCACCAACTGCTGCTTTTTCTTTCCTAATCCTTACTATCGCCATTTTTTCCTCTACTTCTTTATGTTTGTCATACTCCTGTGACCTGCTATTTCCGGGGTGCATTGAAAGTCGAAGCTGAACTTTGTGCTGTTGAAGCTAGAGAGGTGAGCAGAGTAAGCCTGATTCTCTGTAAGGGCTTCTCTGTTAACATCCACCCTTTTGCGCTCATATGACCTTATGCAATAGAGAGCGCCGTAAAACCCTACTAAAACAAACAAATGGAGTTCACGGGACAATCGGACAACGTCAGAAAATGGAAATAGTGAGGATTCAAAATTTGAAAACTTGTAGACTCATAACTTTTTCTGTTTGATTGCTGGTTTATTAATTTTGTTAGAGATATGGGAACTCGAACAAAAATTAATTAAACCAACAATTGAACATTAATGCACAGCTGAGCCAAGAAGCTTTTAAAATTGATTTTCCCATTGTTTCATAATATTGCGACAATCATAGTATATAAAACAAACAGCTCCGCACTAAACACTGTACGTTGATTTTACCTTTACTTGACATATATGTGATGCAGCGTGGTGAAATCAGGCGCTCGTCAATTTTTGTGCATGTAGAGTTATTGGTATCATCTGAAATCTCGTTCACTTGTCTATATATTTGAATGAAAAAATATCAATTTATCTTGAATACAAGTGGAGATATTTGCTAATGAAGGAGGTGGGGGTCACCTGTTTTCAGAGGAAAAGTTAGTGAGAAAATGGCTGCCAAAGATTAGTTATTTCCATAGCTTAAGAGTCCGTGGTAACTGAAAATTTCCATTTTTGTGCCTTTAAAGAACGTTTTCCAGGAAACTCCACACAGAAATGAGTTCTTTAATGGGCATGAAAGGTGTTGAGCCAAAAAAAAATTAATAATTAGAAAAAAAATTCACAAACCTGCGAAAAAATGCAAGTTTCTTCACTTTGATTATTTTGACGAGAGCCTGATTCCACCGCGCTGCCTCACATATTTACAAATTACTGTTGGCTTCATTCCCATCTTTTTTATGTCAGGTTTGATTGAACATGCTTACCCTTTTAAAACCTTTATTTGTTTCACACCTCCCTTCAAATCTATTTACTTCACAGTCATTACAGTTTGATATGAACGTTTTGCTATTGAAACTTCGCAATACTCATCAATCAAACGTGTCACTCCCTCAAAGCATGGTACATTATATATCATTTGGAATATACTCGAGAAAAGACCCCTCTCAAGCTCACTGACCAGAGAAAAGATTTTCCAAGGGAAACAGTGAAAGCTATACATCATCAACAGTGAAAGTTTACAATACACAAACACATCAGAGTAATACATTGTAATTATAATGCCAGCCGTACGTGTGTACCATCATCTAGATGGAGCTTTGGGTTTAGAAAAGAAATGGGTAAGAAGGAAAGGAGTGTGGGAATGAAATGAGGGAAGGAGTATTCTGTTGATTGGGGGTGGGAGGTGGGGGTGGGGGTGGAGAGAGGGGGTTGGAGTGACTGAGGGTGGAGGTGGGTGGGTGAGGGTGGTAGTGTGTGAGTGAAGAGTTTGCGGGTCAGATTCGTTGTGTGTGGATAAATGAGAGTTTGTGTGTGGGTGATTGGGGTTTATGTGGGTGAATGGGGATGTTTGTAAGGGAGGTGTGTTGTGCGTGGGGAAGGGATTTGAAAGAGAGTGGCGTGCAGCAAGTGTGTGTGGTGATTCAGGTATGAGGGCAACAGACCATAAGCAACAACAATAAAAATAACGGAAAATACACAATAGTTATAAAAAAAAAGTGAAAAAGAAGCAACAACAGAAAGACAGTCGCAGCTGAAATACAATAACAGCAAAACTAAAAATGGAATGCAAACCGTAAATTAGCATACAAATAAATATAAAACCAGGTGCAAATAATAATAATATATTATTGTTATAAACAGTCTCGACGGGGCTTACAATATTATGGCAGCTACAAAACGAACCAAGCACTTTTCAAACCCAACATTCTTACTCAAGCACCGGAAGGCAATAGTCAATACTCAAACAGGAAATACCTGGGTGCTTCTGACAGTCCTCATTGTACATGCCGTCTCCGTCTTTATCTGAAAGGAAACAAGCAGCAGAGTTTGGATGTCCTTTAAAGCTCAAATTAATAATCTGAAGATTGACCGCCAAGTCACATTTAACTAAATATGTTTTCTAACAATATTCGTTTCACCACGCTGACTTTTGAAAAACCACAGAAACCATATTGCCGCCTCTTATATAAACTTAAAGTGTATCAAGAGGCGTTAAACTATATGGTTTCGCATTTCGAAATGGATTGCATACAAGCAAAGTTTGTTACTCAAGCAACAAAAGGTATCCAATAGGCTGTTGGTTCCAGAATTTCGATGTTTAGCTACCTTGGTACATGTTGAGGTTTGGACCACCGCCAAACTCCAATCTATCAAACTGCCCCTTGACTTGTTTGTATAATCTACTGAAAAGAGTGCACGGTCTTAAATCAATGTTTCCAGTAAAGACGTCCACAATTGAATCCATGGGAAGTTGGCAGACAATTCAAAGGTTCTGAGCCAGGACAAACTGTCTTTTTTGCTTCATATTGTCTACTAAGTCTTTAAACTATAAAGTGGGATGAGTCCATGACATGTCCATCCTCTCCATCCTGACTCACCAAAAAGATGAGCTAGAGCAAAGAAAAACCTAGAAAAAATGTGACATAAGGTCGATCGGAGTGATAGCAGGCAAAACAGTAGAGCAATCTTCTCTCCCCTTGGGGTACGATAACAACAGATACACACTGGGTCTTTTTGAAAGGTTTCGTAAGGGTTGCTCTAAAAGCAAAAGTTACAAATTGCTGGACATATTGTGACAACATTCACATGTGGCTAGTGTCACCCTTGGTTCTTTTCAGGAGAGAACCATCTTTGTAAAGCTAAACTGTATGGTTTTAATTTTCGTTTGAGTAATTTTACGGCACTTGCAACACAAATAGGTCTTAAAAGTACCGAAGATAAGAGGTTTTACTAAAGAGTAACATACAAAGAAAAGAAATAGGAGAGATAGTGAAGATAGATGCTTGATAGAAAAGAAGTGGCAAACCACACCAGAGCGCATGATAACCACCTATGCTAAACTGTTTGGAAGCCTGGGAAAGCAGATTTACGGCTCAAACAGATACGTCGTTGCAATACCCTCTCCCTCCCCCTTAGTTAGAAGAAAGGACAACCAGAACTGCATATTCCTATGAGGACCCCTGTACTGCACCTGTTTGTTGAAAAAAAAGGAGAAAGCGCTGCTCAATAAGTGGCACACCATGACAATGTACCTGAGCCAAAACACCTCTATTGATGAGGGAGTACGAATCCTTCCATGTTTCTCATCATAATGTAATCACCTGTTCTGGCCCTTAATTACGACCTTATGTCGTTCCCCTATGACGAAAAAATCCCCAACTAAAACTCGGTAGTGTCAAGTTGAGAGCTTCTAAGCCACATTTGAAATTGGAATTTTTACGATGCCGTACGTGAAGAGGAAATACCATTGTGAATCATTTAGAAGGATGACAATCTGAAAGCAAACTATAGTGCTGTCAAAAATGCATGGCGCAACATGTATCAATTTGTTTTATCAGTTGAGTATTTTTTTTCAAACTCCTGCACACTGTATTCTAGAAAATTCCTTAATAAGTATTAATTTAAAAATCCCATCGATGGTTTCCACATATTTTAAAAAGTCTACACCTCGGGCAATATCGCTTTTAAAAGCAAGCCTGTCATTTTTTCTAATCGCAACATTATGCTTATTGAACGTATGTTTAGGGAACCTTTAGAGCAAAAAATTTGTTCACTATAAAATGAATTTCTTGTAAGACGTTTTGCAACTAAAAATTGTCATTGGCGAGCTTTGACGTAGGGTATCTTTGCGTATGGAAAATGTGTGCGAGAAGCGGGAAGTGCTGTGAACAACCCCATTTTCCGCATGGATAGAAATTTATAGTGTTTTATATTAATTAGAGAAGAAAAGTTTTTAAATCGAGCCTCAGATGTGGTGGAAACATGTTATGACGTTAAGACAAATTGATCCAATCTGATGTGCAAAGTATTGGTGACATTGATTCACCCATTAAAGACATATTCGAGGAGAGGTTGCGCCACGAATATTTGACCGCACTACATACTTTGAAAAGTAAAAACGAAAGATGATCATTGTAAAAGCATATATAGTAGACCCCCTCCCCCCCAACCCCCCCCCCAAAAAAATATTTAAAAAAATAAAACAATTACATCCTTGCCTTGATGGCAATCACTTTCTATAACTATGTCGTGTTATGTTCTAAACACAGAGAGCATGGATGCCACACCTTTATAAAAGACGGACCGAAAAATCTGAATTTGTCACAACACTCTGATGTTGGCTTTTTAACGGATTGGCCTGATCCAGAGAAGGCAAATACTGACCTTCCATAACAGAATCTCTACATGGTTCTTCATCGATGTAACCGTCACAGTCGTTGTCGATGTTGTCACCCGGCGTTCCTCTCCTCATAACGCACTCCTGAGACGACGATACGGGAAGCGGTTGTGATGATGATTACGATGTTGATGAAGATATTGATGAAGCCAACTACACGGGTGATAATAACCACCACTCAAACAACAATATGACTTCTGAAATGCCATGATAGCCTTTTAATATATGCCAATTTCTACGTACGGATTTTATTCACAAAATGTTATTGTAAGTATACATTCCTTATTCAAACTATTCAAATCTTTTTGACTTGAAACTAGCGGGTGTCAGGCTTGTGTACCAATGTTTTTATGACAACCATGAGAAATAGAGTACGATGGCTGTGGTGGTATTGGCTGCTATCACGATGATGCGGGGTTCAATATCCTAGTGGTACCGACACTGATGTTGTCGACAACCATGTCAGAGATTTCTTCGTTTTTTTGAGAAAGCTGAACAACAAAACAGCAGAAAACGATAAATCTAAGGATAGTTAAGTGTTGGGGAAAAAGTAGAGAAAGGTAGAGAGGAGTGAAAGCAGTAATGGCGGTGATTTTGGTGGCAATGGCATATAGTAATACAAAGTGATCATAATATAAAATGTATAGAAAACAAACATCTTTTCAAAATCTCGTCAAAATAATTACACTGTTGTGTGTTTCAAGTAGAATGGAACTGACTCAGTACCTCTCAATATGACGAAATAATTATGTATTTGGGGATGACAGCTGTCGATATACCCATTTATGAATATGGTCAGGGAAATATATCTGAGCTTCGTGGATCGTTTACAGAACAGTATGGATGTAAATAAAAGTGACTTTAAAAAGACAAAGAACTAAAGGTTTAAGACATGTTTGCACCACTAAAATAAACCCTAAAAAGGTTGATAATGATGGTAATATAATCTCTATGCCAATATATAATAATATTATAAGAATAAGAGTATAATAATGATACAATCACAGCAGACAGGTATCTGATAGAAGACTATTTTGCTTAACATGACATGGTGCACGGTAATTAAAAATTCTTTAGGGCCTACTGAATAATTAAGTTTTATCAATAGTGATGGGATAAGAATAGACGAAAAAAAAAGCAGGTTTTCCAACAGGAGAAAATACATGTGACCAGGGTAACCTGAGATTAGATAAGATAATAAAAGAAATTCAGAACAGTGCGTCAAGAACACAAAGACTCAAATAAATAAAATGGCCTTGTCACCGCCTTGTACTTTATCAAAGAGAGTGGCAAGGCAGGGACAGAGACGGAGACGCTTAAGGTTTCTCAAACTGATCTGGCATCTTGTCTGAGCAGACAGAACAGGAAATGTAAAATAATATACCAAAAATGTAACCAGTGTCGCCATTCTTAGTTTTTTACCACTAAATTTAGTGTTTTTTGGGTCGATTTAGTTTTTTAAGTTTTTTTCCCGGCACATTTAGACCTAGTAGTTTTTGTTTTGGTTTGTTTTACTAACAACAATCATATAAAATCGATTACATAATTCTGTCAATCTTTTGTTAAAAGTTATTTTTAAAAAATAATAATAAATGCGAAAATGATGACTATAGGCCAAGAACAGTCTAAAATCTGGCCTGTCTAAAGGTTATCAAAAATTATAGATTAGATGTACACTAGGCCTATATATGAATATGTTTGACTGGGCAGAAATAAAGAACCAGCTATAACAGCAAAAGATATAAGAATAAATAAGTTTTAAAAAACGGACCTTTTTCATCCCATTAAGTGGAATTTTTTTCAAAATTTAGTAGTTTCTTAAAAGTCTGGATGGCAACACTGAATGTAACACACTACACTACCGGGTAGGTGCGGGTGGGGTTGCCACTGTAGTAGCAACACATAGGTTTCCGTTTAAACTACATGTAGGTTTAGAATGTAAAGAATAGACGCAAACGCGTGTGTAACGAATCAGTTTGTCATTTAGCATGACTAATATGTGTACTGCCAATTAGGAAATCTGCAGAGGCAACGCTAACAAAACGTGCCAAAAGTTGATAAGGGAAGGCCGACAATGCTGCAAGCGCAGCTGCGACCATAACATAAGATTTCTGCCCACGAATTCGGCTGGCTGTTAATTTCGTTGTTCCTCTTTGACTGTCAAAATATTTCCCATGTTGTATTGCCCTGTCCGTTTCACATTGCCTTGCTAGAAGACATGACGTCATCCAACAGATATTGTGTTATGTCAAGGAAAATGAACAATCTAAACGTAAAATACCAAAAGAACATTAATTTGTTGATGCATTAAAACTATAATATGAAAACATTGTGTCACATGACTGGTCTTGAGTTACTCAACCCCATATACTTATACGTAGGAAGGATCGAGACCCTAATCTTCATGGATAAGGACAAACAATATCGGAGGTCCTGTATGCACTTTACACACGTTTAAGATCCATTGTAAGCTGAACATCGTAGAAGAGTCGGCCATTAGGCCGCTATCCGGGCAAAAATCAAAATTAAAAAATTCCTTCCGTAAAAATATTCATCCCACACCTTCCTTGATTCCAGACGTATAAAATTGTGATTTCTCTCTTTTGGAGCGTATCAAGGAAATCAAGATTTGTTGGGGAGGGAAGCAATCTACAGCCACTTTGTCTATCACCCAGGCAAACCTGTCTCATGCATTCTGCTTTAAGATCGTATGGTAAGACGCAACCCTACCCCCCCCCCCATATGATACTTATATAAATATGTACCTGTGAGTGGGTCCTAGGAATTTAATGGAATCTCCGATTACATTCCCCAAATACCTACATTTCTGAAAGCAGTCTTGTAGAATCAAACAACTGCCATCTGCATCATTGCCTCGCACGACACTAACAAATCTGAGCTAATGACACACCCATAAAATATTATAAGACAGACAAGACCAGATGAGTTGGTAAGGCAACTCACCGTTAACTGAAGAGAAGAGAGACAGTTAGTATTGTGCTTATGCCATCACGTTGTTCATGATAAAATATGCAGTGGGAAATATTAACTCTCAATATAGAAGGCTATTCTTTCTTTAAACGCAGCCACTTTTGTCATCCAATCTTTCAGCACTACAAACCTCTCGACAACTCTGCTCCTATTAAACCTGTACGCAATAAAACAAAAACACCCACGAAAAGGAGCAGAAATGAATGTTCTTGGCAATAAACACAGTTTTATTTTAGACAAGATGGACTGGCTGGGGTTTAGTAGATCTGTATTATGACGCCTGCGAAACTGATTCGTCGTAAACCAAGAGATAATAGTTATTTACATCAACCCCACCCCACCCTATCACCCTCGTGTCAACTTGCGTAGAAGATTTGTTTCCATCCGCCCTCCTGCCAGTCTGTGTGTGCGTCGTTCTGTCGGTCTTTCAGCCCCTAATAATTGGACGTTTAAAAAAACACAACTTAAGTTATCTAACCTTATAGGTGATGATATGCATAGCTGGCAGAGGGGATAGAGAACCAGTGTTAACGCCAGAGGAGTAAACGATGCCACCAAATTCAAAGCCAGCAGCACGGGAGTCCAGCTGGATAAAGCTCTCTTGGAACTGGTCTGTGAAGTTGTATCTTATATTGGTCTCTGACTTCATGGACACAGTCCGGTTTCCAACCTGGAGTTCATCGTTCACACGAGCATCACTGGGGAATGTTGATTCACACAAACCATGAGATTTTGTGTATTTAAAAATTTATAATTTATTAGCCGTTAGACGTTCAAGTACACCACATTACAGTTTATGTCCGTATTCACCTCCATCATAGTTTTATTTTTTGTATGCTCTAATAATAATAATAGATAGCATTTTATAGCGCATATCCCCGCTCAACAGCACGCTCTATGCGCTTTACACTATATTATTACTATATTATTACCCCAGCAGACCATAGAACACTCCGAAACATTCTCAGCTTCCCGGGAAGCATACAGTGCAAGCAGCTGATTAAGCGCTCAAACACTAACAAACTGACAAGATCTTTCGCTGTCTATAGCTGGGTACCCATTCCCACCTGGGTGAAGTGAGGAAAATTCGTGTAAAGTGCCTTTCCCAATGACACAACGTCGGGCCCTTGACGGGATTCGAACCCACGACCTTACGGTTGCGAGTCCGAGAGCCTAACCACTAGGCCATCGGCGGTACTTTTGTTTTATTTTGAATATCTGAGTCGATGCCTTTGACTTCATAACAGCTTCGAGTATATAGTAAGCATGTCGCTAAAATGTTCTTTATAAACATCCAAATAAGAAGCTAAATGACAACAAAACGACCCCCCTCCCGCAATTTTGCGTTAGAAAATTATTTCAACAATCGATCCACCTATTTCCTTGAATGGTATACCGCTGTGCTAGAGCAGTGAAAACTGTTTGGGGAACTCTTAATTTTTGCAGTTCCAGTACCGTTATGTTGGTGATCTTACTGTGTCATTTCAAGAATCTTTCTAAGGCGTCCGATATGACAGTAGCTGAGCTCGCTTTCTTCATGCAAATATTATTATCCAGGCATATTGTAGACGAACGACGGGAAAGATGGTGTAATCCAACATCAGGTGCAAACCACTGACAGTTTCATATAATGCAAAAGACCTTATAAACATTAAATGCAATCTTTTTTGTTCATTCCGACCATGATATAGCAAGGATTAAATTGCTATCTCTGTGGCATAAATGTCTAACTCTGATATGGACCCATGTGTACCCAACGCAAAACGACTCCCAACTCAGCTCACTGTTCTGGTTACCCTAAAAAGGTGAGACCCATGCACTGAGATAATAAAAGGTTGCAGATGCAATTAGAACAGCTGAACTTGTTCTCCCTGTTGCCCATATGCAGCTTCCCCCAAATATCATTTACAACAATGACAAAAATAATGACAAAAATAACGAAACCATCCCTATAAACATAAGGCTTATGAGATCATATATAAAAGGTGAGATGCATGAATACTAATGTTCCTCTCCGACAGAATTATTCAGTTTGCGTACAGAGATATACATCAACTAAAAATCAGTCATAATGCCTGGGAAAAGCAAGACAGACATACATGAACATAATATGAATACTAAAGGGGGTGGAATTACCAGTGGTCATGTGGGGGAAGAGTCGTGGATCCTTCCCAGAAAATGTAAGTTCAAAGACGTTCTGTTAGGGGTTTAAAACTGGCCTACAACGGGGCCACCAGCGAGTAAGCCCATTATGAAATCAACTGAAGTATCGGCACACCAATGGAACACATCATCATTAATTTAAACTAAACCCTCTCTGTATAAACTATAGCAACAACGACGACAAGATCATCAACAACAAGCTTCTACTAAAATGACCACTAAAATGACCAGCCTACCATCCGTTACTTCAACTTACGAGGAAATAAACAAGATCGAGGAGTTAAGACTGGAAATGTTGCCTACATTCAGTTTAGCAAAACTGATGTATTGGCTGACGGGAGTGAGAATGCTGTAACCTTTGATGCAAACGATCTGTGCTACCAACACTGGTTTGCTGGAGCTGATCCTGGCTGTTTCATTGTCCATCTGGTCGACAGTTTAGTCGGTTTTTTGTGCGTGGGAAGGGGTGGGGTGAGAGAAACCAAAACGATTTAAATATTTTCTGTTTATTGAAGGTAGTAGTAGGAAGAATGAGAGGAAGACGAGTAATAGAAGCAGGAGCAACATAAAGAATAAGAATAAGACCAGGAAAAAAGGAGGAGGGAGAAAAAGAAGAAAAAACTGGTTACCGTTGAGTGGCAGTGTGCCTTTGGCATAGCATTGTGTTTTACATCAAGGTAAAGGGGACAAGGAGTTAGAAGGGGCGATATTGAATGGCAGTAAAACCTTGAAACACCAGCAATAATTTGCCATCTTATCTATCATTTAAATTCTGAAACCTCTTAACTTGAATAGAAGAGGTAAAAGTCATTTAATTATACATCTGGCTTCTCTTAAATGATGGATCTCATTAAAGATGACGAGAAATGACGGTGTGCAGTACTAGTTACTGTTTCGAGCGGCACTTCCTGCTTAGGACGATTCCTAGAAGGCAGTCTCTGTCATACTGGTTGCAGATAAATCAGGGATGCTCGTATGAGACATGACGTGCCCATTCCCCTCACCAGGCACTCTTGTTGGTGAGCTGATTGAGTCTCCCTATCTTTGCTTTCATCTTGCAAACGGAAACAACAGTCCTCCAAGCAAGGACATCATCGGCTTTGACCTCCCATGTGTTTGAGGCGGTATTAGGCAGCTTCAGATTTCTTTGTTGAAGCATAGAATTGATCGCCTGTCGGGCTGTGCACCCCCAACGAGTTCACTGTACGGCAGTGGTCTGGAACGTTACTAAGGTCCATCGGACGGGGAAAAAAACAACCACTCGAGCTGTTTTCATGCTCGGGGTCAGACAACACACTCGGGATAACTCCACGCTTCAGTACCACCTAGTGGGGGAATGCGGTCCTGACAAGGACAGATGATTACACCTTAATTAAGCATCGAATATGAAATGTATTGATCCTGACGAAAGTATGTGGTTCAGGTTTCGTAGAGAGAGAGAGAGAGAAAGACTGAGAGAGAGAGAGAGAGAGAGAGAGAGAGAGAGAGAGAGAGAGAGAGAGAGAGAGAGAGAGAGAGAGAGAGAGAGAGAAAGAGAGACAGACAGAATGACAGACAGACAGACAGACAGACAAACAGACAGACAGATAAAGTCAGTTTAGGTGGATTTTCCAGACATTTTAAGATGATGCTAACAACATTACTTATGAATGCCGAAATACCAGTAGAGAATTGATCGCTTGTTGGACACACACGGTTTGCTCCAGTGATACAACATTGAATGTAGGTCAAATAATATTCATTGGGTTTTAACGGAAGCACATTAATAGAGAGAAAAAAAATTGAGAGAAAGGAGATTTGACAAAACAAATTTAAAGGAGAAGGAAGTTGAGAAATTAAAAGAAAAACTGAAGAAAAGTTGGAAGAATCTTTCTAAATAATTGAGGAGAGTATTTTTTAAAGCGGGATGAAAGAGAAAGAAAAAAGAAAGAAAAAAGGAAGAAGGAGAATAACATTTTGAGTTGGTGTGAGGTTGTTTAGACCAACTCGACTCAAACATAAAAATCTGCCTTCCCGAAGGCAGAACAATACGCTCTGTAGTTAGTGGTAAGAAGGCTAGGGAAGAATTTAAAAAAGTAAGCAGCTACGTTACACTAGATAAACTTCGACCTTAAGGTGTTGGTGGGATGGAGGGGGAGGGGTGTGGAACTGAGATAAACTTGGGGAAATATTGAAGCTCGTAAGATAGCAAAACAAAAATAATTCAACAAATGACATAGTTTGTTAAGGACTATATTGAAAAAAAAATCCCCACCTGAAAAGGCTACATTCCGTTAGTTTGATACAAACCTCACGTGTTGCAGAACACCAGTTCACATGTTTTAAACCCACAACCAGCGGGCAGCATCCGCCCCAGGGAACAATATCTGGCCCCCGAGAGAATTTTAGGTAGTCCATCCTGACAATCTTCATAAAACAGAACCTTTCTGTATAAACATACTTGTAACCAAAAAAGATGCCAAACATCCAGCTCTGACAAATTGCCTTCAGTCTGGAAATTTAAGTTTTATCAGTGTTAATTCAAATCACTGTTATAAAGGTTTCATTTTCCACTGCCCAATGAGTGTTGATCCAGTTCTGCCCATAACTTTGGTTGTGTAATTTGCATTTGCCCCCTTGTGCAATTGGGTTTGACAGCCCTGCTCTAGTTAATTGATGACGTTGCGGTCAGGACATGGCAGTCTATAAAGTAACATTTAGGATTTAGACATTGCCTGCAAAATATGAGATCCGTTACTTAGTGGGGAAACCATATTTTTAGCGAGTATAAGTAATTAAAGCCCGTCTCCTGAGAAATAGTACCGAGCGCAGACCGAGTCAACACTAGCAGACATAGTTATAGCGCCCATTACCTATTCCTATTCCTATTTCATTACGGAGTAAAACGTGTACAATCAACTTATTTTTGACACCTACCTTTACATCTGTCTGTGCTCCAGGTGAGTTGAGGGTAAATATCTGCGTAGAAGTAACAGATTCAGAAGACACTGTGAAGTTGGTCCCACCGGTGGCCGCGACAATTCTCAGAATGTCTGATCTGTTTTGGCAAGCATTGTGCTGTTGAGAAAAAAGATAGTTCAGATGATATGCCCTACTGATAGACAAAATGCACGGGCTGTTTCCAGAAATAGTATAGATCAAAAGATAGGTACTTTAGTTGTTTTCCATCTATTTGCAAACACAAAACACTGTAGTGATATGTGCCTAGCAGGGGCATCCGAGGATTAATAGCTAGGGTCAAAGAGTCAATTGACCGATGTCACCCATTATTTATGGACATTCTCCAAGAAACTCCACAAACTGTACTAGAACTGATAGGTTTCTTAAAAAGGTTTGAAGTGAAAACTAATCTATAAGTATTTGTGTGTGTGCCTGGAGAAAGGGTCCAGTTGTTGGGCACAGCTTTTTTGAACAACGGGGTAAAAGCCGTACGTGGTCAAAAATTTAATTCCATGAGAAAACAAACGTTTAATCATTTCTTAATAACATATTGAAGAGATTTTATGATAGCTTAAGGCAACCAGTATTTTCACGACGGGTCGTGGAAAAACATCTATGCGCCTTGTCACGACCTGTTATGGAAAAAAAAGGCTATGCGTGTTTTCACGACATGTCGAACACATACCGGCTCTTACCGCAGAGGTCTAGGCCTATTAGCTAAAATTCTCTTTTTTCGGTAGATCTAGATCTAGTTTCCAATTTTGGACCTGTTCTACCGCCATTCCGATTAAGGTGTCAAAACTACCGGATTTGTGATGGATGCCGAGAGTGCTTCCAACTTTCCCTTATGAAACCCGTAAATTCTGTACTTGCAGCATCATCATCTACGCCGCAAATGTGTTTTACAAAACTTTGAAGAGAGAGAGAGAGAGAGAGAGAGAGAGAGAGAGAGAGAGAGAGAGAGAGAGAGAGAGAGAGAGACAGAAGGGGGGAGAGAGGGAGAGAGAGAGACAGAGAGAAACAGAAAGAGAGAGAGAGAGAGAGAGAGAGAGAGAGAGAGAGAGAGAGAGAGAGAGAGAGAGAGAGAGAGAGAGGGGGGGGGGCACTTGTCTTTTTAGCTTCTCTGACGGTAGATCTAGAATCTAAACCTCGGCAGTAACCAAGTTGCATGCCTAACTGCGCGCACTCGACCAGTGTCCCTCTGTGCGGCTCGGTCGTGAACATAACGGCGGCCAAAATAAAGATTTCCAAAACTTTAAAAAATTGTTGATGGGACAGTGAACTATTTTTATTTTATTCCCCGGTCAGCTCGGGGAGGGACGAAAGAAGAGAGACGATACACCTAAATAAATCTCGCCCACGTGCACCTGAGTGTAGATGTCCATGGGTGACAAATCACGAGTGAAGGGGTCGCACCTCCTGCTGGTGGAGCAGTGGGTCTATTAAAATTTATATCCCCCCGAACCACGAGGGGTGAAACAGTCGAAAGAAAATGCGATATCTCGAGTGGACAAAATGTATTGGCAGCAGTGTGAAACGCATGTAAAACATATTGACGACGAGTATTGGGAGAAGGAAGGACTTCCGTTCATCCAACCAAGAGTAGTCATCAACCCATTTGAAGACTCCTCTGACAGGCTGATACAATAAAGGTAGGTCAATGCTGAGACTTCTTGCCACATTGTGTTCTTTTTTTGTACGCCCCTGAATGCGCACATCTTTCGTGTTTGGATTATAGACACTGTAAGGACTAAATGTGATGTACTAATGATAAAGAGTAATTAATTAAACCAGTCAATAATTAGCTACTTAACTCGAATTTCCATAATGTGGTGGGTGCACATCACTACCACAAAAATGTGATTAAAATCAAACAAGTAGTTGCTGAGATATTAAGCTTCAAACGTGCTCACAAATTATGGGGAGGACTACTATAATATAGGCAAACGTTAAAGTGTGGTGTTGAGGAAAGTATCTCAACTTTTAAGTTTTAGATGTATGCTGTAAATCCCCTATTATTTGTTTTATTCGCTTTCGGCTTACATCAAAGAAAACGTGCCGGAACCTTAGTTTGCAGGGGCCTTTATAATTATATATTTCCATTTTCGAAAATCAGCTGAAGCATTTTTTATTCACAAAAGCATACCTGTCATAATGATGTACTGTGATATATATGCATGTGTATGCCAGACTGTGAGACTGAAGAAATAGCGAGTGAGAATGAGAGGGAGAAAAAGAGAGAGATAGAGAGAGAAAAGAGAGAGAAAAGAGAGATAGCGAGAGAGGGAGAGAGAAAGAGAGAGAGAGATAGAGGGAGAGGGAGAGAGAGAGGGAGAGAGAGACAGACAGACAGAGAGAGAGAGAGAGAGAGAGAGAGAGAGAGAGAGAGAGAGAGAGAGAGAGAGAGAGAGAGAGAGAGAGAGAGAGAACGGAAATGTTTTTCTATCTGTATAGAATTAATGTTTTAATGAATGTATCTAGTTACTCACGTTTCAACTGTATTTTGACTTGTTCGTGAATTTGTATTGCATTGTATATTTTTAGTGAACACATTTTCAACCTCACTGCGAGACTGTTTTTCTGGTATAAAATTTTACACATATGCATTTATGTTATATGTATAATACTTTGTTTTACGTACACATTTGTGTCGATTAATTTTTAAGATGTGAATTCTTTTTCATTGTAATGCGCATTGAGCATCTTTTAGGAAATGGAAATGCGCAGTATAAATGCTATTTATTATTATTATTATTATCATTATTATTATAAAATGGGCTTTTAGATTCTGTTAGTCGTCCAACTTTTCGACCTGTATGCAAAGATCTTAGAAGATTGAACAGAGTGATTTTATTTTTTCTTGTTTTAACCGCGGTCAGACGAAAGTGAACAAGCTTATCAATCCAGATTAGAAAAATAAAGCCAGAGTCATGCTCAACGCGCTGCTATTGTGAGGACATTTAAAGTCAGCAGAAGGACTATCAGCCTTCTGAGAAAATGGTACGTTGCGACTTGGCCCATTCAAGATCGACCCAGAAATGACCGCCCAAGGGTAACAATGCCAGTTCAAGACCGATATACCAGGAGAGTGCACTTGAAAAAACCGTTTCAGGATAGCTGCTCAAGCCGTAAGAAAATTTCCTGGACTTTTACTCGTCAGCCAGCATACTGCTCGTCGCAGACTGAGGGAATTCAAGATTGAAGCTAGGATGTCTACATACAGACTGCGTTTACAGCCAACATACCACCAGGCTAGGGTGTACTGGTCACAGATACACCGCCGAGTACCTAAAGCGGTGGGTCACTTTACCCATCTCGGACGATTCTAAATTGCAAATCTTTGAACGCCACGATGGGAGTGCAAAAGTGTTCAGGAGACCACATGAGCACTATCTCCCATTTCTTCAAGAACACAATCAGCCCATGGCATTCCAATAAGAAAAAGAACCCACACACAATGCAAACCACTCTGAATTTTATTCATTAAAATATCCAGAATAACGTCGCTGTAATGGGCCTACGGCCTTCCATGTCACCAGATCTGAACTCAATTGAGCAACTAGAGGACGAGATTAACTGTATTGCCCTTGACTTGAATCCTGGTCCCAGAACCACATTTTACAACTGTAGTTAGTCCTCACCAATGCTTGAAACAATATTTTGCTGGCCGACTTGTGCACTCTATGTGCAGGAAATGCCTTGATGAGCTGAATGCACATGGAGACCACACAGTGTACTGATATGTAACTTTTAGATTTTACCCCTGTTGTCATATTTCAATCATATAAAAGACGTTTCTGCTAAAAGATAATCCTTTCACCATGATTTATATGTCAAATACTTCATATTTCAATTTCGTGGTCAAAAGAATCCTTAATTTTCCACATAAAAGACATACTGATGAAAGTGGTGGTGCCACTGACTGAAGTGTCTGTAGGCCATTCCCAAAGGGGGGCATTTCTCGTTCTAGTCCACAGTAGAATTGTATATGGGCTGATCTAACAATGTCATGCTCATAACTGTGCCTGAACTACAACAGGGAACTGCTGCTTTTTCTTTCCTAGTCCTTACTATCGTCATTTTCTTCTACTTCTTTTGTATGTTTGTCACACTCTTGTGACCGCTATTTCCCCCGAGCCTTGATAGTCGAAGCAGACTTTGTGCTGCTGAAGCTAGAGAGGCGAGCAGAGTAAGCGGCTGAAGATCGACGCGGACTGGCGCCAGTAGTTGTCCGCTTGACTCCACATAGAGGGTGCCTAAAGCCTAGATCTAGATATAAGAAAAAAAAAATTACACTACAACACAGCTGGTTTTTATGAAGCATTTATTCGGGGATAATAAAAAAAAAACCCTCGAAATTCTTAAAATATTGCTTAAAATGTAATTCTGCTGAGTTGCCACCCTAATTTGACGACGCTGATCTAAAAAATGTAATTAGTTTTTGTCTACCGTGAAGCACCAGCTCTGAAATGGCCATTTAAAGTTGTTCAACCTGAGTTGGCGACAGCGAGACAGCATGAGTTCGCTACCTCAGTGCTTTCTTGTCGCATCTCCATTTTTAATAACAGTGAAAGCAGTTCATGGCAAAGAGTGAGCTTAAGAAGAAGTCAGATTTATACTGTAAAAAAAATGGAGATACGACAAGAAAGCACTGAGGACGCGAGTTGACAGCGAGACGCCCTTCCCAGTTTTTCGGCGTAAGAAGAATGTAGTTTGGATTCCGATAAAGCCGGATCAGCGTTGCCGGCTAATGATGTAATTTTTATACCTATCAGCGTTTACTGAGTCAGTCTCCGAAATCGGCATTCTCTATGTTTTCGCCCTTAGACCGTCTTCTCACTTCTCACAGCGAGTTTGGGGCGCCCATAGGCCAAGAGAAAGAAGAAGACGAATAAGTAAGAAGAAGGAGGAGGAGCATTACAGAGGGAAGGTGGTGAGAGTGACAGGGAGTGAGAGAGATAAGTTGAGAGATATATGCAGAGACATAGCAAAGTTTACATTGCTAGATCTAGGTCTCTGATATATATATATATATGGGAAGTGAGAAAGAGACAAGAAAGGAAACAGACACTAAAGCAAGCAAGCAAGCAAGCAAGCACTCACGCACACACATGCA